CCCCCCCCCCCCCCCCCCCCCCTCAGTTGAGTAAACTGTCAGTATGAGTCGTCTAATGACATCCGTGATAGAGGACTCAAACTTCCTATTTCAGTTAATTTAACCCTGGCTTATTTAAGAATGAATAGTTGTTAACTATCCAGTAAGAGGAGGTTTACGGCAACCTAAATGTAAATTCAGCGCATCTCTTAATTCATCTATGCTTCGTCCTTTTAAGAGGCAAGTGCATCTCACTCCACCATATCCTATTGTTTAAATTTTCTAACTTCGGGAATTATGCCTGAATGCATACATGCTCACATTGATAGCATTAATTATTATTCATTTGTCCTATTTTTCCAATGACCAAATACAAGGAATCAAAACAACGATAAATAAACTGTTTTTTCAGACAGAAGTCATGAGAGATCACCTAATTTGATTTCCCATATCGACATATATAAGATGGATAAAGTATAATGTTTTTATGCTCAAAATTGAGCTAATTTGCATCTCATTACTTCAATAATTTAAATAATTTTATTTTGGAAATATTTTTCCAAAGTGCCACCTTCAACAATCATCATGCACTACCAAGATTAAACTTCCATATTTAAACATTTCATTTAATAATTAGAATTATTAATGAAACTTTCCTGAATAGACAATGCGTTTTAGGAGCATCATTTTAAATGCAAGGCTCTTAATATTAATTAGAAAAAATGTTAGAATTTAGTCGCTGATTCGGTATTAGTAAAATTTAAAGTAAATTTAAAGGGCTTCAAAATTTTACCTTACTAATAATTGCAGTATATTACGAAATTTCTGATAGTATTGGCAAGTAATATAAAGGTTTTTCTGTGAATCGGGGGGGGGGGGTGTGAACTGAAATTTATTAAAATCAAACCATTTCTCTAATCTATATCTAATGAAATATTGACAGTACCAGCATTTTAGCAAATCTTACACGTCACCATGTGCCAAAATTGCTTCCTGTAAATTAGCTAAATGAAAATGAAAATCACAATAAGTACGCTTTACTAAAAACTTCCTCTCGTGTTCCGATGACTGACCCAGAATGCTAGCAAGCCCAATTACGCTTTAGTAATCTTGTCGACCTCTTCAGACTTACTTTCCATAATGAATTGAGATCACTTCCGTCACCATGACTCAATTCACACCAAACATCAATCGATTCTTGCACTCGCTTTGAGAACACCACTATTGCCTCGTTTCAGCCCACGCACCACAATTCCTTTGATTTTAGACTTTATTCCTACATTAATGACTTATGCTCGCAGTAGTCTTCGGTTCTCTCCCTCCCCCCCCTCTCTATCCCACTATCGTTGTAAAAAGGTTCGTAGATGATAGGAAGTCTGATGGGAAAAATTAGATACCCTCCTGCCAATCAAACCTCCAAAAGCGTGTACTCCTAATATAAAATGGGAAATAAGTTAAATCTGAGGAAAATGAATTTATTGTAAAAGCAGAAAATCACCACAGCTCGCCCTCTGAGTAATAGAGTGAATAACGTTGAGTGTGCTTACAGAAACTACTCTTTTCTTTTTCTCATCCAGATTGCATTGACCACTATTCTAGGGGAAGACATTTGCCCTTTGAATGCTTTGTTGGTATACTGCTAGGTCTGTTTTGCATTATAATAGAGGGTGTATTAATAATACCCTATCACTTCTATTTATTCGTCAACTTATATTTATTTGCTCTAGTCATCAACTTCGGTTTGATCAAGTACCCCAGGCCCACTAAAGTTTGTACCTTGCTTTATAGGCCCGAAATCGAGTCTGTTAAGCTACAACTGTTAAGACAACTGTGTACACTTTGAAAATGTCATTTCTAAGGAAGGAAAAATAAGGCCAAATGGAAAAGAGTCATGGAATTCACAATGGTGTAATTTTCAACTTACACGACGTCTCTACCCTTCCCAATAATTAAATATTAAGTACTATACAACTTTATGTTTTTTTCAAACATTTCCGTGTATTTTTCTCTTTCTTTACTTGTGAAAAAAATGAAATCAACTCTACACCTATCGAGCTTAATAAGAGCGGAAATAGTCGTCTCTTACTATTTTTTGGCATTGCTATTATGATTGCATTGGAGAAGACAGGATATTTTGAAGTTTGGACGGGGAAAATTTTCTAAACATTGTAAGTGGTTTAAAGTCCAAAATGTCATTAATCGAGGCGGTTCAGATTAAAGCTGGTAATAAAATCGAGTTACCGATTTCAATCTGTTGTTTTGGTGGGGGCAGTTTTACTTAGTCTACATGGCCTGATGTTCGCAAAACCGAGGGTTCAGAAACTTCCCTCTTATTTGGGGAGGGGAAGGGGGGGCGAAATAAAACCCACTATGTCTCAAGAGTACTTTTTGATTGATTGCTTGGGAAATTTGCATATACTTTTTCAACATTCGCCATAACTTTTTCGACAAATTACTTGCGACGTATTTTGAAACTGGTGGGGGAGGGGGGGGTTGGATTTTTCTACCTTCAAACCGCCAACTTTATTCCTAATGCTGGTAGAATTCCCGAAATGTTTACATGCTACAATTGGTTTGACGTATTATATTAACCTTCTTAATAATTTAAAAAATCGAAACGTTTAGTTTTAATTTACTCCATAAAATAATAATGCATCATTATATGAACTTAATAGGCGAAATAATTATGTATCAAGTGTGATGATACTGGATCCTCTCTATTTTAATATTGAACAGACAACTAAGCATTTTCCACTTAACTTGTTTCATCATATAATTGTTTTACTTTCATGAAATTTAAAAAAATAAACATCTCCCTTTACGAAATCCAGGGCAAATCAGTAAGAAATTTTTGGAAAATAAATATTGTTTTCATAAGTCATAGGGAAAATATTAACACGATTTGGGAAATACATCATTTAAATATTTTGTGTAGGCTATACTGTACGATGTTGTATGCTATTTTTATATGGTATCTATGGTGACATGTTAGATTAGTATATGAATGCTAACCTATTAAGACTATTTCTTCTAAACTACATCACTCGTTTTCCCTCCATCGTCTTCTCAAATAAAATATTATCTTTTAAACCTGGCAAAGCGTTGTCAACTAACTCTAACGATAACAAAAAACAGAATGAAGATTGATGCGAATTTTATTGAAATTTTCTCATCATTGGTTCAACGGTCTTCTTAAGTTGAGTAAGACCTTATCTAGAATATACTAGTAATTGTACTTAATTGTTTTAAGTAAGCATCGTTTCCATAATTAGGCTGCACTAACTTTCAATTTAGTAAATCCGCCACTTTACCTGTTGAAAATGCAAAATAAGACACTCAATGAGATCTAATCACGTGGAACTTCAAGCATGTATTTGTTATGATAGTTTCACTTAAGCCTTTCTCTTATTTTTAACACTTTAGTAGAAACTGGATCGAAGAAGTTCTCGGTCGAGCTCACACCAATAACACAACAGTCTAGTCCACGAAGTATCTATGAGACAGTAAATGAGAATGCTTCTTTATCGGATCCTTCACCCCCGAATCCCTTTACTCCCAATATCCAGAGTCCTCCAATTGCCGACTCAATAGCTCCATTCACTAGCATTTCGTTGGATAGCCCGCGTCGACAAAAGATCCGGCAATCACTGAAATATAGTAATTGTGATCTTGAATCGTCTTGGTGGGGTGATAATAGCCAAAAGAATCCAGGAGCTTCGGATACCATTAAACGGAGACATTATTCTCATGCGTCATCCTCTGCCTCCTCCACTTTTTATCCCCACTCACTCTCCAAATCCACGAATCCCATGGGTAATTCGGCGCGAACTTGTCAGGACCAAAGAGCACCCTGTCCACCTTTGCGCGAGAACCAGAAGATCAATCCCTTCTCCCAGAAATTGCGTAGAAGTTGAATGAATAGAAATTGAAAGCTTATTGGGACCACGAGGAAATAAAATTCTATTTGCGTGCTTTTAAAGTCATAATCTTACTTTCTCATCTTCAACAACACTGACCTCACTTCAACTTCACTTTTCTCCTTCTCCCACTTTAATAGAGAAATAAAGTTTATTTGATGAGCAGATCTTGTGCATATTTGTCGTTATGTTTACGAAAATAATGCTCACAGTTCTTAAGCCAGAATAGATACACTTTTAAGGATCTAAGGACACTATTGTAGCAATCTCATTAAGGCTTCATTATTCGTAACATGCCATAATTAATATCAGAAAGTAATGATATTTGCAATATCATCCTTTCTCAAAATCCCACTTTATATTCTAACCCATGGTTATCTTATGGATTTTTTGCGTTAATTTACCAGAACGTGGGAATATAATAAATTTTATTTTATTATCACAGACTGATATAATCGACGCGCATACATAGTAAATTTATACAAGGGAAAATACATATCCTTTTCTTGCCCCTAATCAATAATTGAAAAAAATTGCCGAAAATGCAATGATTCCATTTATATTGTTACCACACGGAAACTCACTGTCTACTGAGGATACACTACTGTTAAAACAGCCGAAACTGGGTTGGTTCAAAATACAGGACTCCATTGGTAAGGAAAGGAATTTGCTAATACAGGCATTGGGACAAAGATAAGCTCTTTGGCCAGCGCATAATTGCAACAGGCATGGAGATCTTTTGTCCAGTAATCACCTACGTGAAAAAGACGCCAATCTGTGTAGATCAAACTCGATTCGATCAACCAGTATATCCATTTACCTGAATATCAGAATTACATTATAAAGTGGGGGGTGGGGGGAGGGGTATTGCCTGTATCCTACTGCGTAAGCAAAAAAATAGTTATTTTAATGATTGAAAGCAATTTTGCTGCATAAAATGAAGCTCATTAATATTTGATAAAACAACAAGGATAGTAATTAGGAAGTGGATTCAAGCTATTATAATGACCTCAATTAACCCCTACAGTTCAGATCAAGTATAAACTCAATCTTTGAACTTTTATGGATGCAGTTTAAGCGTTTATTTTGGTATTTGATCTGTTCATTTAATCATACCGATACATTCTTGAGGTCTTTGTAAGTGCCTGGCAAAAGACTAGACGGAGTACAAAATAACTATGCCTCATCTAATAAACTGTGAAGCACTCCACTCCAGCATGCCTAAGCTAAGCAGCCTCATGGCGCTCGAACATTCTGGAACATTCCTCATGGAGTGAATGCGGTCAAAAGGGTGCAGAGACATCCCAGGCAATCAATAGCCAAGAGTCATTAAAATGTCAACTTACTCACAATCGGATTTATTGGCTAACCTGTATATCAGTGACATCACAACTTCAATAAATCCATTCCACATCCCACATTCTGTTTCCGCGATATTTTGAGATAGAGTAGCCAATTTAGGGACAACTTCATATGTTGGAATTTTGCTACAGAGAATAATGAAGTTCAGTCAAGGCTTATTGTTTAGCTTGAGGTTAAAATCTATTTATTTATTTCAAATGGCAGGCGTTTTGATAATTAACATTAGCCCTTTAGCTGACTTTGGGCTTCATAGAGGGGAGGGACAGAAGAGTGATTTATAGATGTAAGAGAGACAGGCAGACTGACACAAAGGTAGAGAAAAGGTAAGATGAGTACTGTGAGTGGTGTAATATGACATACAGTGGGGTGATGGTAGTTAGAAGCCAGAAGTCACTGTCGGTTTATAGGCTTTTTTGTCGTATGAATATACATTACCCAGGATGTACCACGTGGAGATAAGTCTATCGCACACTCCACAGTTACAATTTATAACATTATCGAAGTTTAGTCATAGGTAAGGAGATTTTGACAGATGATGCTCAAGGTACTGGTTTCTGACATCTGCCAACTTAAACATGGTTAATTTGCAATCCTACATCTTCTTCCATGCTTATGTAATATTACAAGATAAGCTGCGTCTTCGCAAGTTTTTCGTAATGGATGGTGAGTTTGTCAATTTTGCCTGCTTTAAAGTTTGAAGTACCTACATGCAGTGAAAATTGGCATTTATTACAGAGCTTAAAGGCAACTTAAAGTGCAATGATAAAGACATGTATAACAATCGTGACGAGTACTACACTGAGTCCACTGAGGTCACGTGAGAAATGCTCTTTAGTACACATCTAGCGAAATGGGTAACCACCTTCATGATTAATTCTATTTTATCACCTTTATTGTCAAGTGCTGTGAGAACTTTCCATGTTAAGCTGCATAACTTCTACAAAAGTAATTTTATTAATTATTAAATTAAATTACTACTTTATAGAAAATGCTTAACATGGCTTATTAGGGAGAACAATTAAAATGAAACCCAGTAATTTCTAGGTAATAAAACCGAAGATAACAATATCCCATC